ACAACCATTCGCATTCACGTAAATACGTTTAGATCAATAATTTAGACAATTTGAGCTTGATGTATCTTTCATCCTACCCAAAATCAGAACATGTCCTTTCAACGACAAAAGCAAAAGTGATATTCCCTCTTATTCCCCCCATTCCCAGGTCTATTTCCTGATTTCAGAAGAATCGACTTAATTGCAAATATCTCAATTTTTTACGAAATGAGTACCTATTTATATTCATTGACATGTTAAAATCTATATAAAATGCCAATAATTTTCCCAGTTTGCCGGAACCAAGCGGTATCGTTCACTTATTATTACGGTTTTTAAAGCATTCCTGGCAAATTGTGGTTTTGTCATTGTTCTTTCGAAACAGCGATATGTTGGCATTAAATACTACGAAACTTTTTTTTCCTAAATAAAAAATGTATTTCACGCATGGAACTGACATAGTCACACCTATGTAAATTATGTGATGTAGTGGAAATACTTTGAATTAAGAGAACTTCGTTTATAAGAGCTCCAATTAGTAAATTGATTAAAGTCAGTTAGCTTTAGCGTGTTTACCTTTGAAACTTTCACCAAGTAAAACCTTTCCGAACAATTGTTTACCGGAGCGTGTATTCTTTAAAGTTTAGGAGTTCTTCTGATTATCAACCCAATTATACACGACCCGAAAGAGGTGTTAATAAAGAGTACTTTTAAAGGCCGAATTTGTGTTAATCGAGATAATAGAAAATTGGCGAAAGGTGCAAGTTAAAAGAGTTAATCAAATTATAATTTGGTTTATAAATTGCGTAAATTTAAATTTCCGTTGTTCTCTCGTCTGCATCAAGATCTTTTGCGTTATTTCATTATTATATAACACGAATTCCTTATAAATGACGATAATTAATACAGCGGATGCTAAAAGCGTTTGCGAGAGTGGATGTAAAATGAATAATTAATTTTTGCATAATAGTCAATTAGATTTCATGCAGGAAAGTTAGAAATTAATCTTCGTCTACAACAGAACAGGCGAAAGGTACGCATTTTGGTGTTCTATAATTTGACGATTCACAAACTTATAGGTGGAAAACAAGTTGAGTAAGTGACACCTTTTTTAATGGATTTAACACTGTGTTGCAAGGAAAAAAACGCATATGCTCACATGCAAATTTTAAATGCATTCGAAATGAAATAGAATTTATGTTGTCAATATTTATGTTACAAAAGGCTTGACAATTTCCCTAATTTGCAGAAATTAAATGTAACTGAACGAAAGGCACATTTTCTCGTAGATTGAGACATTTTCGCAAAATTGGAAATAATTCGAAAATTGTGCGTGATCCAATTTGTGGTAGATATCGATAATGCACCAAGTGACTTACAGTTGGAATGAATAGATTTGCTGTACCTGCTAAAAAAGGAAGAATATTGTCACTCTCATCGGTCATTTACGTGCATGGCTATAAGTTTTACTTGTTTGAACTAGCGAACCAGGAAAAAACCGATTGAATTCAGTCCATATGTAGATATATCCAATTCTATTACCGCTTAGCTATCGATTTATTGTTTTTTATTTTTTTCTCGTGATTTAGAAGAGTCCCTACCAAAAACCGCTAATAATTTATTCCAAATTCTGCAACGAATGTTTCCTCTGCAATCGTGTAGTCGAATACAATATAATCAATCGTTATCCTCTAGGAACATTTATATTACAAGTACAAGTAGAGATTGTAAAAAGAGAGTCAATAATATGAAAATTGATTTCCACAATCTAATTTTAAAAGTAGATTAAACTTCTATGCTACGAGGGTGCTTTTGGACGACCGCTTCGTATGAAACGGGGACGACCCAAGCTATATTAAATGTCTCTGAATTGTGCATAACTTAAAAGAAAAATCAGAGACGTAATATGTATATGTCAAGGGTTCCCCTATAAAATTGTGGATTGCAATCACGTCCAACTAAGTCGTCGCTAATGCCGTAGAATTGTGCGGTAATTCCTTATCTTAAATCCGATTTCTTGCGACAAGTAATTTAATTGAACTATGAGTTTCATGATTTGGTTTTAAACTTGGAACCGTAAGGAACGCCACAAAATTGAATCTCTTCTTATCCGCTTGCTTGATTCTTGGGATAGTTTCACTAAGATAAAGTATCTGAACGGACGATGAATTTTACATTAGATTTACCCTATTAAGTAGATCCCGACATTTGTTACGTAGCAATTCAATCGAGAGAGATATCAAAGGGCGTTCAGGATCTTTTATGCAGTCAATCGTTTAACAAAAATGTGTTATAGTGCGGCAGATAAAGTAGGACTGATGTATTGTCAACAGTGTCATGGATGAACGCATTTATTGGCTGTAAAAAATCTCATTCGTTTTTTATTGGTAAATCCATAATCTATATTAATTCCAATGGACATACACGTACGAGTTTTGTACGTATCGGCATTTACAATAATTAGAAAGTACGTAAAGCACAGAGCGAATTCTCAGAACCAGTTCGAGTCAAAAATGTCTTTCTATATAATAGTCCGGGAGCCAGGGGTCCATGTGGTCTAGCGATTTATGCATCTAGATTTTGAACTATACTGTAAATAAGCTTTCATTGCCAACGAAAGTGAGTTAGCTGGCGCACCTGTAGTGGATGAGAGCGTAGGAGGGTGGGAAACATGTTCGAAAATGTGTGTTCACAAAATCATTGTATGCAGAATGAAATTTTGTTCGTGTATTCTTTTAGCCTTTATTAGGATTTAAAAAAATAGTCCGCTGCGCGGTAGGAGGGGAGAAATACGTCAGCTGAGCGGGTAAATTGTTAGAAAAATAAAGAATTATTTTATTTTATATCGATTGAAATTTATTTACATGATTTTGGACACGTATGGAAATACTCGTATATTTACATGAAGAGAGAGAGATAAAATCAAAAACCCTTTTACCTTTCGGTGTAGGGGTATGCTACACATTCAGCTTTAACTTAGATATTTCACTACATTACATAGTAATAAATAATAATTGTTCTGATAACATTATGTCTGCACAGTGCAATTCTTCTATTCATTGTTTGTGTGTGAAGTTCGCCCATTCTTTCTTGTCTAGCGCCATCTTTTTCGCTCCGGTCCATGTTTTCCCCCTTGTCTCTAATATTTTGGTTATTATTTTGTCCCAAGTTTCTTTAGGTCTGCCTCTTTTTCGTTTATTCTGACTCCTAGCTTCCCATACATTCTTGACTGGCCTGCTGCTACTCATTCTTTGGAGATGTCCCCACCAGCTCAGTTGTCGGTTTTCAATAAACTCTAGTACTGACTCTACTCCAAGGTCTTGTCGTATTTGGGTGTTCCTGACGCAATCCACTCTTGACACTCCTCTTACACGTCTAAGGTATTTCATTTCTACCGCTTGTATTTTGCTTTTTTGATTTTTAGTTAAAACCCACGTTTCGCACCCATAAGTTAGAACTGGTCTGGTCTGTCTGTTTTTGCCCTAAACAAATGTTTTATCGGTAAACGCGAAGTCTCATATAATACAAAACTAAACGTTTATAAAACTACATGAAGATAATTAACGTTTATATCTACTGAAGATATGTAAATTAGAAGCGGCCTTGCAAAAATCTACCAGAGATACGTTCAAGTAGGTAAAGCGGCAAAAATATAACATATTTTATATTAATGTTGTAACGTAAATTTATTACGTCCTTTATCTATTTTACAAAAAATTAACAATAAACTTATAACAGTCTTGAAATGAATTAGTTTATAACAATCTTATATATTATATATATTATATATATATATATATATATATATATATATATATTATATATATATATATATCACTTATAAATACACAATTTATGACAGTGGTAGTATTTATTATTTCATCGTCGTAATTGGAGCTCAAACGGTTCCGGACACTTCCGAGCCTTTTTAGCAGTGTTGTAACTTACCTAGGTACAAGTACCTAGGTACTGTACCTAAGGTACTAATTTAGTACCTAAGTACCTGCAAAGGTACAAAAAAAAAAGTGTACCTATACCTGTACCTAGATACATTTTTGACGGTACCTAAATACCTACAAGCCTTAGGTACATTAACATTTAACAAAATCAAAATCTCAAAGATAAATGGTTTTGTCAGAGTCAGAAGCAAGGGAAGACCAACCGCTAAAAACCCCTGTTGGTACGCCGCTGCTCAAAAGACGTGTTTACATACGGCAATTTATTACTTCGCTAATGTACATGTGGATATCATATCAATAAGATTTCAAAATGGCTTCTTGTTCTTCGCTTTGCGGCTTGCGAGAAGTTCTGTTTGGAGTTTGTTTTAACTGAAGTGCTGACACAGCTACTGTGTCTACTGAGTGAGTGATAAGTGAGTGATACACGACTGATAATCAGTGATAGACATGGCGATGGCTGATCCTCTGATTGCGTCAAAAGAGAACAATCTGCCTTTGATTTTAAATGGAGAGTTTTTTAAAATATTGATGGAGGAAGAAGCTGATCCTTTAGAACCCTGTGCAGTGGTTCAGATAACAGCAAAATGCATGTTGTGTGCAAAACATACAGTGATAAGCAGCACGAAAAATTCAACGGGGAATTTTCATAAGCATTTACGGGTAACTGGTCCAGCAAAATCTTAAAACACCTTAAAACCCAGCTGTGATAACCCTGGGTTTCATGTTTTTTAAGACTACTTCTGGCAACAGCAATGATTTTCATGAATTTGCTTTTGTAATTAAATTATTATTGTTTAAATTTGTGTTGTTGCAGAGAAAACATCCCCGTGCAGTAAAAAAGTTTGATTCCTTAATGATAGAACGTACAGCGGCCTGCCGGCAGGACCGAATTGACGCATTTGAGGACGCGCTAAAATGTTTAATATGAGTACCTTACATCCTGCCAGCAGGACACCTAGTCCTACCGTTGGAAAGCTTGTAAAATAACGATTCTGGCAAAAAAAATCCGAAGTCAATCCGACAATTCGTTCGTGTTTTATGAATTTATGAATTTCTAATTAGTTAACGTGTAATAATGGAGGTCGGTGTGCGTGTTTCCGTACCAGCGACTGTGTTTGATGGAAAATTTGACAATTCCTGGAGTGTGTCTATGTTTGGGGAAGATTGGAATACGGCTAAATGTTACGGTGTTATTACAAAAACCTTTATTAACAACCGCGATGTCGTGTCGGTCAAGTGGGAAATAGACGGGCGAGTAACAAAAATTAATTGCAGTTCTCTTCAAATAGATGATCCAGTTTCTGCTTATAAAACGCAGTTTACATCACCTAATGAAGGTAATTATATAAATACTGACAATATTGACACTATTACTAACAATGTATATAATATAGCTACGGACGATGTTAGCGATGTGGCGAGTTCGTCATCAAACGATACTAGTAGTTCGTGTAGTGAAGAGTCCGATGATGAAAATCCGAATATTAATTTGCAAAACACCAGAGAAAACAATAATCAAGTGAAAGTTCATGACACAACATGGACTTTTGGACAATCTATAACAGTAAACGCATTCAAAGATGCTCGGTACAAACCCCAGCTAAACTTTCGTAGTACACAAAATTTGAAAGAAATTGATTATTGGATGGCCTTCTTTCCTTCTGAAGATATTGATTTAATTCTCGAATGCACTAACTCGAACCTCAGGGAAGGCCGTAAAGTTATTTCGAAAGGAGAATTTTATAAAGTAATTGGAATTATGTACGCAATGACAACAAATATTTTGCACACCAGACGTGATTATTGGTCTACAGAAGCAGGTTTATTTCCGGCACCCGCATTCGGTCAAAGATTCGGTATTGGTTTGCATCGTTTTGAAGAGGTAATAAATAGTATAGCCTTCGCAATGCCCACTAATAATGAAGAAGATAAGTGGTATCAAGTTCGTTCCTTCTTCAACATGACTACATCAAAATGGAATGATATTTTTACTCCTGGATATAAAATTACAGTCGACGAATCCATGTTCGCGTGGTACGGAAAAGGGCTCCATAATGAAATTGATGGTATGCCTGCTGTGATAAAAATACAGCGAAAGCCAAAAGGTGTAGGCTGTGAGTGCAAAACAGTTGCGGACGTTCTATCAGGTATAATGATCAACATTGAAATAAATGAAGGTAGAGAAGCTATGCAGCAAAAGGATTGGCAGAAGGAGTTGGGAGCAGGTACTGCAACAACACTACGGTTGACGCGCCCTTGGCATGGTTCCGGCAGAATCGTGGTTGGAGATTCTTGGTTCGGTTCTGTAAAAACTGCCAAGGAACTACATAATAGAGGCTTGTATTTTCTTGGTATAGTTAAAACAGCAACCAAAAATTATCCTTTAGCATCAGCTAAGGAACGATGTCCAAACGAGAGGGGTTCTTTTGCAGTGGCTACTGCAACGGTTGATCCAGGTGTAAACTTAATATGCGTAGCTTGGAGAGACAAAAAAGTACATACATTTATTGGAAGTTGTGGTACGACTTTGAACGCAGAACCGGCAAAAAAGAAACGAACAGGTCATGACGGTAACCAGATCATAAAGGAAGTGCCAAGAAATCAACTTGTCGTAGAATATTTTGATGGAGCTCCGGCAGTTGACATTCATAACCATATTCGACAAAGTGGACTGGCGCTCGAAGTTGTCTGGAACACTCAAAAATGGTATCATCGCATGTTTGCCAGTTTGTTTGGAATAATAGAGGCAAATGCATTTTTAGCTTTTAAATATTTTAATAGAGATATGACAAAGAAGCATTCTGATTTTACAGAAGCGTTATCCTTACAACTAATAAATAATACATGGAGTGATGCTGCAAACAAAACTCGCGCTCCTCTACAAGGGTTAGGAAACGCACCACTGGAACAAGAACAACGATGGTTACCTGGGGAACATACATTGATTGCACTAAGTAGCGAAGATGATCGTAAGAGAGTCCAGAGAAAATGCATTATTTGCAGTAGGGTTCGAAATGTTCAACAGAAAGCTAGTTACAGGTGCAATTCTTGCGGTGTTCGTGCTGTTATGTGTTCTCCTACTACTGGTAGAAATTGTTTTACTTACCATATACAACATGGAATTCCGGCTTGAAAATACTTTTAGTGTTCCTATTTTGTTAATTTTGTTAAATGCATTTATCATATGTTCACAAATGCTAAATTAATAAGTCAAATAAATACTTTAGTTCCTGATCTGTATTGTTTTAATAAAGACGCTTCTGGTAAATAAAAATGCCCAACTGTTGTTCCGTAATTCACATCCTGGTTTACGCTAGCTCCAGATATGTACGTGGTACTGCCAGAAGCAGATCATCGACCTGCTGGCAGGACAGTCTCACTAAGAGAAGGTCGTCCTGCTAGCAGGACCCTCGACTCTGTACAAAAGTACTACAGGAAGATCTTCCTGCAGGACGAATCGTTGTACACTCTATCATTAAAGGAGCATTCTGTAAAGTTAAAAAGAAGCAATACTGTAGTCACAGATGGGTCCACTAAGAGAATCAGGGGCAATGAAGGTGAAGACAGGCTCGTTAGTACCAGTTTTGCAACGCCTTTTGATAGGTGTAAAAATACGAAGCTTTCTGAAAATAAAGTAATTCTTACATTTACTATTCTAAAGCAAGCTTTGTTGTTATTTTCTCGACTAACTACAAAGCTTGCTTTAGATTTATTACTAACTTCTCCGCATGTGTCATTATTATGGAGGTTTCAACACCTTTGTTTTAGGCTCAAGAACTAATATGTAGCTATATCATTGACGAAATGCTACCGATTTATAAAGTAGAAAAGGAATCATTCAGAAGACTGGTATCCGGTCTCAGCGGAGGTATAAAACCACCATGCAGAAGAACCTTAACAAATCTAATTGTGAAGAAGAAGGATAAATATGTGACAACGTTAAAGACGAAATTAGATTCTGTGCAATATGTGTGTACCACAACAGATATATGGAGTAGTAATAACCGTAGTTATTTGGGCATGACATGCCATTATTTTGATGCTAATTTAATCAGATGTTCTTCAGTGTTAGCCTGTAGACGCATGCGTTATTCCCACACACATTTAGAAATAGGGAGGGCAGTTTCAGACATTCATAAAGAATACAACCTTAAAGACTCGCAAATTGTCGGTACTGTGACTGACAATGCTGCTAACTTTGGCAAAGCCTTTAAAATATTTTCTGCGCCAGATAATTTGTTAAATATTGGTGACCTAGACTTTTTAATAGCTGAAAATCTTGATATTGATATTAATACTATACCGGACTTTATCGAAATTGAGCAAGATTTTCAAAATAATCTTGATTTAGAGGATTCTGACATAACGTTGCCTCGGCACTTCAGATGTGCTTCCCACACCTTAAATTTAATTGCAACAAAGGATGCTGAAACTGCATTGCTGGATAGTGGTTATAAAAAAATATATAATTCCACATTTGCAAAATTGACAGCCATATGGAACATATCGCACAGGTCAACTGCAGCTGCGGATGAAATTGAGAACATTTGCAAACTCAAATTATTAGTGCCATGTCCCACCAGATGGAACTCTTTATTCGATAGTGTACAAAGAATCCTGCAATTACGAGAGCATCTAGAAACAATATGTGAAAAATTAAAAAAACCAAAATTAAAAAATATTGAGTTGGAATTTTTGTCAGAGTACGCTTTAGTTATGGAAGTGCTTGCTAAATCTATTGATATTTTGCAAGGCGAAGAGAGTTGCTGTTTAGGGTATTTACTTCCTACATTATTTCAAATTAAAAAAACGTTAAATTCTCTTTCGCATTTGGTATTTTGCACAGCATTAAAAGACGCAATATTGGATGGCGTTAATAAGAGATATAAGGATATTTTGAATTTAAATAGCAGTACCTCAAAACCCTATATTTTGGCCACTGTTTCGATACCAAAATTTAAGTTAAAGTGGATAACCTCAACAACATCAGATGTGAACCTTATTGAGAGCACAACTAAGCTTATCAAATCCTTGTTCATTACTGAATGTGAAAAAGCCTCTAAAAGAGATACTGCTAAAGCCTATGAAGAGGAAAGTGGCGCTGCTTCTGCTGGCAGCGAAGATGATGATTTCTTCGATATTCTTAAAAGTCCTCTTAGTCCAACGTCAAGCTTGCATTTGTCAGAGAAAGAATATGTGGAATCCGCAGCTTTTAAAAGTATCGTTGAGATGGAATGCCTAAGGTATTTTCAAGACAAATCAAAGGATAAGCTATCTTTATTGAATTATCCCCTCGTTATGAAAGTATACAAAATTTATAATACTATTTTGCCTTCATCTGCACCAGTTGAAAGGCTATTTAGTACGGCAGGACAAATTCTGACTCCTAAAAGAAACCGTCTTTCCGATGAAATGTTTGAAATTCTTCTTCTCTTACGTCACCAAACAGACCTATTGCAGTAATATCACAAATCACAATTAATCTGTAAGGTATGAGTACATTTGTATGTATTACTTTTTTGTGAAATTAGAATAGACATTAAACTTCTTTAACAGCGTTCATTTTTTCAATGTACTTTTTAAAGTACCTACTTACAGTTTTTAGGTACTTTTACACTGTAACTGTACCTGTACCTAGGTACTGTGACAAATATGTACCTATACCTGTACCTAAGTATTTATTTGTTCAAGTACCTGTAACTGTACCTAGATACTGAAATAAAAGTACCTATTACAACACTGCTTTTTAGAATATTCTCGAACAAAACAAGTCATACTTCTCGGAAAGATTACATCACATCCGCTTTCGTTCTTTATCGCCGATGACTAATCTTTCATGGCACCTCGATATCTATTGAAATTTCTGGAAAGATTGATAATGTTTATTTGAATCGCAGTCTATTTATTTTCTAGAAATTACCTCATGTTATTAACCTACTAAGTTACGCTATTATGTAGGAAACGTTTTTTTCCTACCGAGGCGCCAACTTTGGCCATAAGCACCGTGTGTCGTCCTAACACCTGTTCTACATTTCGTCGACTTTCTTTAAAAACCGTCAAGTCTGATTGGCCGGGATTTTAGTTTTAGGTGCCGGTGGTTTTTATAGCTACATTTCAAGCTGCTTCGTCTGTTAAAACCGTGTATATCTAACATCCACCTAGCATTTAATAATAACCCAATTAAAACCGTGCAAATATTGCTACTAAAATCAAACTTAGTATAGAAAACGTGTATGTTTGACTTGCAGGGTTTTTATAGACATTAAAGTTCTGTAGAGGCAGACATACACAGATTTAAATGTAAATAAATGCGCCGAAATAAACTAGTCAGCGTGACTAGTGAATTCAGTTTAGAAACGTGCGAGGAAACGTGGATATCATAGACAAAAATGTCTAACGGAAGCAGGGGAAAGCTTTTATTGCAATTGGCTTTGGACCAAAGTACTGTAAGTTGTGACAAATTTACTAACATAAAAAGTAACCTCACCTCTTTAGTTCAAGAAAATCTGAATAACAGTGTGAGTGAATCGCAAGCTTTAAATAACAAGTTAAAAAAGTAAACGTATTAGCTTTGTTTGGTATCCTGCACTAGTGTAACTAGAACAGTAAAAAGGCGTTTGTTATAAAATTAGTGTACGCGGTGCAACTAGTGTATACTGTTTGTTATACCAATTCTGTGTACACTGAACAGCAATTGTTGCGCCTGGTCAAAAGGAGGTGTAGGTAGTGCAGAGTGGCGGGAAAACGTATTATTCTAACCTTAATTTGTTACAGTTTCTTGTGTTTTCACTTTTCACGTTTGATTATATGTTTTGGACGGATGATTTGCATATATTTCCTTTTATGAAAGCTGTTTTGTAATAAATTAAAATGTGTAGTGCAAACCAAGTACCGAAACATGTTATATTTTATATAAATGGAGAAGAAGTTTTGATTTCTGATAAAAATCCTGAAATCCGGTATCGATTGATAGGTAACTAGACAGTAATTCTTAATTACCAATCATAAAATTTGTTTGTATGTTATAGATGAAGACGATTTCGCAGTTTCATATATTCAGGATGCGATACAAAATGGTATATACGATTTAGATGGTGAACTTGTTTCAATTTGTCGTTTGGAAGGTAACAGTGAGTGAGTATACAAGGTAACATTTGTAATAAAATGTTCTTGTGTAATATTTTTAGTGTGAAAATTTTATTAGAAAGAGACGCTGGAGAATCTTCTAGCATGTCAGTAAATGATGATAACAACATTGCTTTAGGTAACTAGGTATAATTACATATTGATGTGTTACTTGCTTCTTTTTTTGCTCTTTATGTTTTCAATATCGGTGATTTTTTGTTATAATCGTATAATAAATTGTTGTTTTTTAGAAGATGGAGCACTAGCGATACAGAGTTGGACAGAAGCTCCTACAAAGCTCTTAATTGAGCTGTATAATAACTACAGCCCAAAAGTTGGGAAAGTAGTTAAATTAAAAAATAAAAAAAAATGTGGGAAGCCATTAAAGACGATATGGAAAAACAAAATTATACCTTTACTGCTGCCCAAATTGAAAATCGGTGGAAAACGTTAGAGAGGTCTTTTAAAAAGAAGACTGAAAATAATAATAAAACTGGACGGGCTAGAGCAAGCTGTCCATATGAAAGGTTTGTATTCAGTTACAACTTATTTAGTTTGGGTAATGGTGGTTTTCAGGGAGTTAACAGAATGTTTTGCCAAAAAATCGAACGTTTTTCCTGATTTTACATTGGACCGGGATGGAAATGGAAAAAACAAAAGCGACATTATAAAAGACGCGGATATCACAGTGGAAGTTCCGAAGATAAATTCGCAACCTACAGAAAATGTACAATGTCGTAAGAGTGAAACTTCCACATCTTCTCATGCAGATGAGCCTTTTGCTGAGAGTAGCCAAAATACAACAGAACACCAAAAAAAAAAGCAAAAGGAGTTGCAGGAGAGCTACGAGAATTAAGACATGCCAGGCAAATACAACATAATGAAAAATTGCAAGCATATGAAAAACGTACTGCTCAAATACAAAGAAAAAATGATTTATTAGAAAAACTAATAAATACGTTACAAAGTGAACAATCTGATAATAATAATGAATAAGTTTTGATAAATTTTACGTTACTTATACTTATAATACAGTTATTAAACTTAGTTCTTATTTCTAAATATTTTATTACATATTTCATCGCGTAGAAGTTTTCCACTTTCCTCACGCCCTTCGTACACTGTTTGAATATTTTCCTCCAATTTTGCTTCTTCAAAACAATCTAAATCTGTTTGATCTGCTAAATTGTGTAATACACAGCATGCCCTAATAAAGTGACATAATATTTCAATATTTTTTAGTTTGCAATAATATAATTGCCTAAACCGTTGTTTTAATAACCCAAAAGTATGTTCAATTTGTACTCTAATTTGGCTTAATCTTTTATTGAAATATTTTTGGGATTGAGTGAGATGTCCGTTATCCCTGTAAGGTACTATAAGGTATGGAAGGCAAGGATAAGCTGAGTCACCAAGTAAGTAGTGTCCTAAAAATTATTGATATAAATGCTTGTTTTTTAACACACCTACCTACCTTGTTCTATAAGTGTAGGAAGCTCAGAGAAAATTGGAGAGTTTTTTAATACTCTACTATCATGAGTAGAGCCAGGAAAACCAATAAAAATGTCTATTATTTTTTTGCGTTCATTGCAAATACCTTGTACACATATACTAACATTGCCTTTACGGTCAATGTAATTATCCTTATTGTCATTGGGAGGATCAATAATGACATGGGTGCCATCGATTGATCCTATTACTCCGGGAAAATTGTATTTGGATGAAAACTTTTGTTCGCTTTCAAGCCTTTGTTGTAGAGAAGGCCATTTTATAACATTTACTGACATGTTACTTAAGAATCTGGACACTCTATAAATTATAGTGTGTACTGTCCATAATGAAAGATCAAATCGGTCAGCCAAATCTCTGTATGCACAAGCCTCATGTCCTGCAAACCATAAAAATAACCCAACCTGTTTTTCATAAGAAACAGTATTGTAATGTCTTTCTATGCTTTTGTATTCACTGCTGTCTCTAAACTTGATGGCCAAACTATTAAACAGTGGTCTTGTTATACGAAAATGCATTTTAAATTCCTCAAAAGAATAGGTTGGAACGGTATTCTCAAAAAAAAGCTTAATACAGTTACGACTGCCTTTTATACAACTACTCATACATGCTTGTAAAACATTTTCCTCTATACTATCTTCGGAATCAGAGCTGGCAGTCGAATCTTCATCTTCTAATAGCTCCATTAGAGTATATCTAAAAACTGCTTCTTTTGGATTCATTTTTGAGGTTATCAAAACCAAAATAAGGTTAAGTTGGGTTACAGTGCGCCCAACTTACACTAGCTCGTTTGGTAAACGCAGGATGCACTAATTACCCTCAACAACTCTGTCGTGTTTGCCAAACCTTACACTCAACTACACTAATATTGATACCAAACAAAGCTTTATGATTTACAAAAAGCGCATTTCCACTTGCATTCATTTCCCATTTGTAAGATGCAATTTCTGTTAAAATCGTAAAAATCCGGCCACAAATATAAAAGATAGCGTTTCATAGGTGCAATCCATTTTTGACGTGCTCTACTTCAATTTCAGTTTATAAGAAGAATTTCATTTCAATGCTTTCCTAAATAAGAGAGCTGGCATTGCACATGCGCAAACCTACATTTTGAAATGAACGTTAGATTTTCCTTTGTTCCAAGCGCCTATGTATCAAATTTCGTTTAAATGCTTCCAGAAATAAAAAAAAGTTGGCACTGCGCATGCGCAAAACCAAATTTTGAAACTGGCGTTACAGTCTATGTATCAAATTTCATTTAAATACTTTTATAAATAAAAAAGTTCGCAATTCGGTTTATAAATGGTCGGGGCACTGTGAATTTTGAATCGATTCTATTCAACTTTTGACATTGCGTATTATATGGGCTAAAGCTATGGTCATATTGAATTTCATGCAATTCAGTTCATAACTAACGGAGATGTCAAAGCGATCGGACATTTCTAACCAAAGTTATCGTTCACACGGACAGATAGAGAGACAGACAGGCAAAGGAACAGACGGACAGACCAACAGACAGACAGCAATACAAAATTCGTCCGATGTTCGCAATGGAAGGATTGATTTGCGAAATGTAAAGGAGGAATATATTGTGGAATAAAAAAAATCCACGGTACAAAGATCGATTACTTGTTGATAAAGAATGGGATGCTGTAGCTCACAGTACGGGATTTTCAAGTAAGTGTATCACTAATATACACAAAAATGCAGGCCGGAAACTATAGTTTTTGTATATTTTTGAAGAAAAATATATCGAATGTTTCTCAAATGTGTTCCCTATTCTTTTCTGAGTAGTTTATGTCTTTAACAATAACGTTTGGTTTTATTGCGAAAATATACACACACACAGTAGGTACATTTAAATTTTGTTTAACCAAAAGTATTGGCAGAAGGTGTGTCTCAACTTTTCGGCTTCTCTGGACGGACGGTTATAGGCTCGTGAAATACGTAAAGTAGTATTACTACGGTTGGCGCCTGTATAATCTTGTAAGTCGTTGAAAAATGAGTCTACCTCCATGTCTATTATAGCATTATGTAAAATGCAAATTGCTTTTGTAATATGAACCGCATTTTCAACTTTAGACAGTATATAGATTTCAATAAAATTCTAAATTTAGCTGAACTTATACCAAAGGCACATTCCACACTCCTTCTGGCACGTGATAAACGGTAATTGTAATAAGACGCAGGTTCATTATTTTGCAGTCGCCTTCTTGGAAATGGTCTTAATAGATAGGTTCTTAATGGGAACGCTTCATCTCCTATAAACACAAAAGGACTGATTTGTTCAGAGCTGGATAAATTTTGATCTTTTGGTAAAAGTAAAGTGACATTTTCGATGTTTTGATAAATTGGCGAATTAGAAAATACTCCGGCATCGCTATCATAGGCACCCATAGTAGGAGAGCTAGCACGAAATCCACTGAACGAGAATGATCAAAATTTTAACCGATGGAGTTCCATTTTGCCCTATCAGAGTATGCTAAAATCGATCGTCTGCCGCCTCAGGTCATATGACTTAAGGCGCTGCGGGTACTACTTCTTGTGGTACCAATTCTAAAAGGTTGTTTTTCGAAAAAATAAGTTATACACCAAATGAAAACGTTGATAATAGCTCTTAAAAAAATATTTAAAAAAATCGCGAACATTTGATAACTCCGTAAAAAACAATTCTTAGTCGGTTTTTCACGTACTTTCTACGGATATACCTAGGTTACCGTTGGATGAATGAAGCTGATTTTTTTACAGACTAATGATAGGTACAGCCAATGACTACGACAGTGTTTCTTTTTTAAATTTTTTCTCTAATTATAAGATATCTTATAATGTTAAGATAATAAGATAATCTTATAATTAGAGAAAAAATTTAAAAACGAAACACCGTTAAGTCATTAGTAGTACCCATCATCAGTCTGTAAAAAAAATCAGCTTCATTCGTCCAACCGTAACCTAGTTATATCCGTAGAAAGTTCGTGGACTAAGAAAAGTTTTTTTACGGAGTTATCAAATGCGCGCGATTTTTTTAAATATTTTTTTTAGAGCTATGATCAACGTTTTCATTTGGTGTATAACTTATTTTTTTGAAAAACAACCTTTCAGAATTGGTACCGCAAGAAGTACCCGCAACGCCTTAAGTCATACGACCTGAGGCGGCAGACGATCGATTTTAGCATACTCTGATAGGGCAAAATGGAACTGCATCGGTTAAAATTTTGATCATTCTCGTTCAGTGGATTTCGTGCTAGCTCCCCTACTACCACATCAATCATTAAAAAACGGTAACTTGCATCCACAACTGCCATTAGTACTATTGAAAAAAATTCTTGTAATTATAATACATGCTGCCCCATTTTGAAGCACATTTAACTCTAATGTGTTTGCTATCGATACTGCCTAAACAGTTTGGAAAGTTCCATTTTTTGTAATATTACACTGCAACATTTTCAAAATCTCAGGAGTCTGGACGGTAGGCACAGGCATATGCATTCCCTGAAGTGAGTCCCAAAGAGCCTTGCAAACTTCTATGACTATAGACGCGACTGATGACTTTGATATTCGAAATGTAAAGGCAATTTGACTAAACGCGATTCTAGTAGATAGGTATACCTGTAACAAAACATAGTACCTACCTACTTATATAGTTATTCCAATAAGATTTTTTTTCAGAGGAAGAAGCAAAAAGAAAATGGCGAAATTTACGCGATCAATTCTCTAAAGAGTTAAAAAAGGGTCGGCAACCGCGTTCAGGCGACCCCTCTGATGAAGATGGACAGTATACAGGAAAATGGCAGTATTTTGGCAGTCTACAGTTCCTAAAGGGTATAATAGTTCCGAGAAGTACGGAAGGAAATTTTTTCATATTGAAGCCTCACAAGAATCGCAGACCTCTTTCTTTGACACTGATGGACCGGAGTTAGGAAAATTCGCCGCCGACGATTCGTCGCGGGGAATATTCGTCGCTGGCAAATTCGTCCCCGATGAATTCGTCGCCAGGCTATATTCGTCACGGCGAGAATTGGATTGTTATTGACAGTACGTTTTCTTATTATTTTGTTTTATTTAAATTACTGGCAGGTGCTTTAAAATGTTGTTCACTATCATATCATCATATTAGGATTCAAAAACAAAAATATGAAATTAAGGTATTTTTAGTTTAATTTTTACTCAGTAATAGGTATATAAAATTGTGCGGTTTTATAACATACATTCTATTGATAAAAAATAACTTGTATGGGTACAAAATTGTTGTTATACAATGTGATTTGTGTAATTCAATAGGTTATGTTATGGGCAACAGCTCGGAGGTAGTCCAGGATGTTGGTATCATCAAATTTCTCCACTACTTTTTGAAGCCTTAATGCCGCATCCCTGTACTTCTTTTTTTTATCAGTTTGCCCTGATAATAACTGCTCAATTTGTAACTCGTGAAGACTTTGCTCTCTTTTCAGACAGTCAATAAATTTCCAAATATTTGGGTGGTTGGCAGACACTTGATGCTCGAATGCATAATGCCATCCTTCTACGGCATTATTTGTTTTTGAGGCTCCTTGCAGAGCAGCTTCATAGGAATTCCAGATATTTATCGCAAATTGCGGTGGCTTCCGCTGCCTTCTAGTTGATGGTCGGCCAATCCACGTATCTTCAAAATAGTCTAATATACATTGGGCCTCGGGAGGTACAATTTGGCCATCGCAAAGCTCTTCAAAAGATTCTATTACACATCCTGGTGGTACGAAGGCCAAGGCAGGAATCATCTTTAACTTCAGAGCAAAATCAGCATCAGTTTCATATTGCTGCTTCAATCCGTTGTTCTGGATACTCCGAAAAATACATTGGCAGAAGTGGAAGAAGCAACCTTGGATAGTCGTATTGGGAAATTGTCTTTGAAAACCGTTGATCAGAGCCTTCTCAAAGTCTATTGTAACCCTATGAGGACGGACATTCGGCTGCAGTTCCACTATCTGCTGCATAAATTTGGAATAGCACTCTGTAGATTTGCTTGGAAGTAATGCATAAATCAGTGGAATAGAAGCTTTCTCTTTCAAGCCATGCACTGTTAAAAGCTGATAAAATAGATGGGGTACGGTTTTGAAGGTGCCGTCCATTTGCCAATCATGTGATGAAGCCAGCAGTTGGAGGTTTCTTCTGGTAGTGAAGATGAGCATTCGGTCTTCGTTGGGACCAGAGTCGTACAAAAGAAAATCTTCTCCCGTTGACGTTTTTTGATAGTCATCGGGAATAACCAAGTCCTGGCGATTATGAACTGTCGCTGGACCATCACCATTGCGCTGGCGAATTTTGCGGATTGTTCGTTTCATGGCATCCACACTAGGCAAATGGGGTGCCACAGACCGTGGGCATTCCTGAGAAACACTTGAAACGATGTATTGAGGGGTGTCTCTGCTGGAAGTGGCTACGTTTTTAATCTTGTTAATAAGTTTAATGGCATCTCGACGTACTGGGTCGCCAACGTGGTTGTGCTCATTGGTTCTGTTGAGCAATAGATAAAAGTATAATTATTAACACATATTAAAAAATTGTATGTGTCTTACCTCTTAATAATTTGGCCATCCGATGTTGTAACCCGTGCACTACATTTTAATGTATAGATTTTCTCGCTTTCCAATGAGTCTTGTTGTCTCCATCTCTGTCCCTGTTGAAGATGAAGCCATCTTCAACAAGTTTCTTGCGGCCCTTTTCACTCTCCACAAATTGCAGTGCCATTTCTTTGCTTAGTATTGAAAAATACTTATTGGTAATTTTGTGGTTCAACTAGGCCAAGAAAACTGAAGCGAATGGAGTGTTCATTAAAATTTTGCCACATTTTATAACTAATCGACTCAATTACGAAAATTTCTAATAACTATTATAATGAGATAGCGATTTTCCACTAAATAAGCAAATTGCAAAGAATGCTAATGAGCCGATGGCGACGAATTTATCGGGGACAAATATTCCCCGCGACGAATTGTCGGCGACGAACTGTTGGCGGCGAATTACTGGCGACGAATTTTCCGGACATGGACCGCATTACCAAGTCAAGTATAAGTATTAAACTCATCTCCAATTCTATATTTGATTGACTTTCACGCAATGTCCCCTTCATATAAAAATGGTAGCATGTCGAAACACCAAAGCGTTGGTTTATAAACCTCCGCAGCAGCACCACTTGCTAAACTTTTTAAATAATCCAACCTCTATTAAATACTGGGTTCTAGTTGTATGTATCTTCTTTGAAATTTCTTCATTTTTTAAGTCTTTGCATTCGACAGCATGCTCATCTTGTAACTCCCTTCTAATAGTTTCAATGGCATCAAAACGTTTGTTTTTGTTTTTATAATCTTTATGACGTGTTACATATAATACGGTTTCAGCTTCATACAACATTATCAAATCTTGTACAATTTCGCGTGTCCACGAGAATGGCGTTTGCGTTTCTGGAGACCAACCCAGAAGAAAAAGGTATTAGCGTTCTAAGAAGCCACGAAAAAACCAAAAAAGCTGAGCCACTCGTTGGATCGCAATTAATGTTTCGAAGGATTCATTGCGCCGCGCAGTTATACGATCTGATCTGAACTTAGAACAAATTATATCTTTTGAATTGAATATCACTCCTTTGTCAATGTTTCTTGAATATTGATCTATGAGGAAGTCAAACAAAGTCGATTTTCTAAAGAGGCAGAGAGTACATCTCCTCAAACGAAATCGTTAATAAATTGATGGCATGGTTGCTGTTTAGGAGATAAACGAGAAAGTATTGGTAACGTTCAACGATTTAGGCCAGTACTTTTTGAAAATGATGTCAAACCTTGCACGAACGTGTGGTGGTAAGCGTATAACAGTGGTATTTGATATGCGCAAAAGCGATTTCAGTGAAACATCAGAAAGAATAAGAAGAGGCGATATAGAAACAAGCTCTTAAACATGACAGTAGGTATCATACATGAGGAAGGTGAAACCGGTAAGTAAAACCGGTAAGTAGATTGTGGAATTACGGAGTAAGTCGAAAAAAATACAGCAAATTATTTTAACAAAGTCAAACTTTCTTATTAAAAATAGACATTTTAATATGTTACAAAATAATCAGCGTGCCTAATTTTGAAAGATGCCAAAGCTGCGTTTCAATGTGATTCTGTAGTAGCTGATTTAGGCTACATTGGAGCCCATTTCCAGATTTAATCAAGCAATTGGAAGATCCATCTCTACCTCTTACGGAGAGCACTAAGTTGTTGAATCAAGTTCCATTGAACTTTCCCAAAGGGAAAAAAATTCACCAGAAAATTGTTATGGTTCTGGTAAAAAATTAACAATATAAAAATTGTGCCTGAGGGAGTTGGTGGAATAGTGGATGGCTTGTCTCCTGTTTTAAATACGCGCCGAGCACTTTTTGTGATGTGGAACGTTCACTTTCTAAGCACAAATATATTTTGAATGATAGAAGGACGAATTTTATAGAACATAATTTAGAAAAATACATAACAGCGCATTCATATTACGTGTAAATTTAGCATAGTATAAATAAAACTTCAAAAAATGTTTGTCTGTGCTTTAGATTGTTTTTGCCTGAAAAGTGCATGTTTTTAATTTTTTTGCCTAATTTCGTATTCATGGATATGGTATAAAACGAAAAAAAGGAAGCAGTAGAAAACAAATTAGAAAAGCCAATAGATGTGCTGGTAAAAGTTATGTCGGACATAATAGTAGGGGAGCTAGCACGAAATCCACTGAACGAGAATGATTTTAACCGATGCAGTTCCATTTTGCCCTATCAGAGTATGCTAAAATCGATCGTCTGCCGCCTCAGGTCATATGACTTAAGGCGCTGCGGGTACTTCTTGCGGTACCAATTCTGAAAGATGGTTTTTCGAGAAAATAAGTTATACACCAAATGAAAACGTTGATAATAGCTCTTAACAAAATATTTAAAAAAATCGCGCGCATTTGATAACTCCGTAAAAAAACAATTCTTAGTCGGTTTTTCACGAACTTTCTACGGATATAACTAGGTTACAATTGGACGAATGAAGCTGATTTTTTTTACAGACTGATGATAGGTACTACTAATGACTTAACGGTGTTTCGTTTTTAAATTTTTTCTCTAATTATAAGATTGTCTTATTATCTTAACATTATATGATATCTTATAATTAGAGAAAAAACTTAAAAAAGAAACACTGTCATAATCATTGGCTGTACCTATCATTAGTCTGTAAAAAAAATTAGCTTCATTCATCCAACGGTAACCTACTTATATCCGTAGAAAGTTCGTGAAAAACCGACTAAGAATTGTTCTTTTACGGAGTTATCAAATGTTCGCGATTTTTTAAATATTTTTTTAAGAGCTATTATCAACGTTTTCATTAGGTGTATAACTTATTTTTTCGAAAAACAACCTTTTAGAATTGGTACCACAAGAAGTACCCGCAGCGCCTTAAGTCGTATGACCTGAGGCGGCAGACGATCGATTTTAGCATACTCTGATAGGGCAAAATGGAACTCCATCGGTTAAAATTTTGATCATTCTCGTTCAGTGGATTTCGTGCTAGCTCCCCTACTATAAAGGAAAGGTTCAAAAAGAAAAAAGAATTAAAGTAAACCCATGCATTTGACGGAAAAGGTTGTGGACCCCGACGTTGCAAAGCATTTACGAAAGAAATGAGACAAAAAATATTCACTGATATTCAGATCATCAGAGACAACGCGATTTTTTGCTCAAATGTGTAGAAACACATTAACCTTTTCGAACAAGAACCAAAAAAGAAAACAGCAGAATTCTTTAATTCGAAGCAACTGAGCGAAGAAAAAGTTAAGGTATGTAGAAGATTCCTAATGAATAATTTCTGACAGAATGTTAAGATATACTGAAGTAAACAGGAGTGATATATTTACTTCGAAGAAGGATAGTCGTGGAAAACATCCCCCCAAAAATAAAACTCCAGAAGAACTTCAACAGTGTTATTGATTTTGTAAAAAGTTTACCAGCTGTCCCTTCACATTATTGTAGGAACAGTACTACAAGAAAGTATTTACCAGCAGAATTAAAAAAATAAATCCAATCTTTACCGAATGTACAAGAGTATTAAAAAAGATGAAAAGATTGGCGATATACAGGTTTTAAAAAATATATTTAGGAATGAGTTCAATATTGGATTCCATGTTCCTAAAAAGATAAGTGTTTGTTATGTGAAGTAAATAAACAGGCCGATAAAGAGAACATGAAAGAAGCTGACATTGAACGGTTTGAAAATCATATTAAGGAGAAAGAGGTTAGCAAGCAAACATTTCTAAGCGAAGAAATCGAAGGAACTCAATTCAGTTCTTTGCACCAGTTTTGACTTACAAAAAGTTTTGAGTACCCCGAATGGTGACAGTTTTCTTCTGGGATTCAGTAGGTACACGTTACGCTGTTTATAATTTAACGTTCTAGGAAAGTGGAACTAAAAATGTTCAATGTTATTTGTGGGGGGAATGTGATGGGAAGAGGGGTACTAATGATATCTGCACTGGAGTTTATAAATACCTACAGTAGGTAGATACTAGCATCAAAGAAATAATTATGTACTGTGACAGTTGCAGTGCACAAAATAAAAACCAACAGATGTTGACAATGTTAATGTGGTTCCTAAAATCTGCCAATAATATATTAATTGTTAAGAAAACCATTTTATTACCAGGGCATACCTACTTTTATGCCAGTATATTCCGTTCACGCAACTATAGAGTCGTCTCACAAAAAGAAAATCGTTTAACCTCCATCTGAAAGGGATACTATAATTCTGCGGTTTGGGATACTAAGGGCGGATGTCACATTTTTTGTAAAATTGAGTTATATAATGCTTTTATGTGCTAAGGACATCCGCCATTTGTTACACTGGGAACGGATTTTTATACTGCATTGGTTAACGTTTTACCCGTTTCAGCAAGGCCCGTTGTCCTTATTTGGTTGAGGACTAAGGCCTTATATGGACATCACTTCCCTTGTTTGTGGGTCGGATGTCCATTAAAAAATATGAATAGGACGGTTGTCCGTAGATGAGTTAGCACTTGGGACATCCGCCTTTTAAGTCTTATAAAGTAGTAATAATTTGAGGTTATTGCATTCTGTGCTGTTTGTGTAAAGGTGCAAAGTGGGTTTGCGGGAGCTTAAAAATGTATTCAGCAAGAACAAGAAAAATATTTGGTGCCTTAAACACGCCAGGGAATATTACCGAGAAACAACGTAGTATTTTCATTACTCATTTTACAATAAGTGCCAACGTTCTTGCAAAATAAACTAAAATCATAATACATTGTACGTACGATGTTATCAATGTGTGCTGGGATGATTAATCATCGATAATCGGATTTCAATTATCTTTTAACGTAGTCGATTATTTGATAATTAATTACTGGTAGTGATCGATTATTCAAATCGCCTACTCCTAATCAACACTAAAGTGAACGTTTTTTAATCATTTTAGAACTAAAAAAGTTCTCGGAATAATAGTTTGTTTTCTTTAATAATTAATTTTATGATTATTAGTAACCTCATTACAGAAACTGTGAATGTCGAACAAACTAAGTGTTTGGATGCTATTGAAACTCCACACGAAGATATTCCCATTCAAATTGACACAAGTAAGTGTGAGCAATATTATGGCTTGAATGATTAATCATTCCATACTTTTTCTTAGCTCCAAATGAATTTCCTACAACTATTTCACGAGAAATTTCACCAAAACCAA